AGTTTCCCCGCGGAGACAAGCACTCTGAGTCAACCTCAACCCAAGGAAATTCATGACCGAGTGCGTGATACACTGAGGGATAAACTGCTGAGCTTTAATTGCCTGAGGAGTGCTCTTCACACTGGAAGTTTTCCAAAATACCCTGGTGAAAGTTTGCTCTGTTTTGACCAGCGATAAAGTGAGATGAGTTGGGCTCCCAGAAGCTTCTTGGATTTGTTTGAAAATACAGAGTGCAAGTCAGCTGTAATGAAACTACATCATGAGTGCAAGAAGCTGCTTGTGTGGAACTAGAGACTGGTGAATCCCTGTGGACGTCTAAAACCTTGCAATGTGCAAATTCCAGTCCTGGTGGGAGTGCGCCTCTGATGACTGGGAGTTTTCATTCACATTGGGCCTTAAGGTCATCTTTGGAGAAAACAACTCTTCTCCTAGAAGAGATGACTGAGGTGTTTCACCAGCCGCTGACTGCTACACACCCTCACATCTGCCTTCCTGGTGAATGGAAGGATTGTGTGCGTGCACACATGTGCGCACACGTCCCTGTGCCCTGACCTGCTCCCCGGCAGGGGCACAGGAGGGAGAGGGAGGGCCCCGCCCCCCCTTGCTCTCGCCTATGGCCACCCAAAACCATAATCTGCCTCTGGCTGTCAGGAAGTTTTCCTATTATTTGGTCTAAATTTTCTCTTTCATTCCATTAGTACTATTTATACTTCCTTTTAGTAAAAAAATCTTTTCCCTCCTTGGTGTTTACATTTGCATACTTGTGGTTTAGTCATTGCTCAGCTATACCAGTCACATTTAGCACTTTTTTTAACCTTTCCCTTCAGATTAATAATTTTTGTTGCTTTTCTCTAAACTGTCCAGTTTCTTTTTTTCTACTCATGTCCAGAATTGAATGTAGTATTCCAGATGCAGTTGCAGAGCACTATAGAGAGACTGTTACTCTCTTTCTCATGACATACTTGTGTATGTGGGTGGGGCAGGGCAGTGCTCAAAATTACATTTGTTCTATTTTGCTGCCATATCACATTACTAACTTGTATCTAATTTCTCTTTATTACTGCTTTTCAGGTTCCTTATTTGTTTTGAGTATCTGTGTTTCCAATTAGTACTGTCCATCAGGCAAAAAAGAGTTTGCATTTCCTCTCCCCCCTCCCCCAATCTCATTTGGTTATTTCCTACCCATACTTCTAAACACTAGGGCCCAGATCCACAAAGGGATTTAGGCATTGCAATCCCTAACTCTTAGGTGCCTAGAAAAATCAGTGGAACAATAATAGGATCCATAAAGCCCTATACAAAGAATGGGGAGAGACTGCCTTAAAATGCTGCCCACAAAAGCCAGCAAGCTAGGTGTAGAGCCACCTAAGCTAGCTAATGACAGATGCTGATGAGAGGGGTATGTTCTAAGCCCGTCCCATGGAGATAGGTGCATAAGTCCAGATTGCAAGGAGGTGCCTAACTTCACTTGCAATCAACAGCAGAGAACCCCTCTCCTAGAATCAGGCAACTTAGGGATCTCGTGGGGAGGGGCCCTCACCCTGGCACACTCCCGGGCAGCCTAGCGCAACAGTGCAATTACATCCATCTGAGTTTCCCCCATTGGGGTCTCAATAAGTCCAACAAATCTTATGTATATTGAAGAGTGCCCCTTCAAGGCTGTAGTTTATTTAACCCGAAGCCAGAACGATATGCAGGCCTCTACCCCAAAGTCTGCAGCTAGAGGGGGAGGGGGCTGAATTAACCTTAATCCATAAACCCCATTTATGTTCATGTCCCTTACCAATGAGACCTCTTGACCCAGAAACCTCTTCTTGAACCAGGGACTCTTGTCATCTCCGGAGGAAGGATCTCTTCTCTTGGGTCAAGATCCCCAAATGGGAGACCCTTTCTCAGAAAAACATACAGTTCTTCTAATCTGGGGCTTTTGCTACTTGATGAAATCCTTCCATGAGGACCAGGTTCTGCTGAGACTTGGCATTCCTTCCTTTCAGAGCATCTCCCACCTAGGAGCATTCTTACAGGTACTTAGTTTCCTTTCCTAGTAAGCTCCCTTAATGGCTACCCCATGAAAAACACCTCACATTAGAAGCTTCCTTGTTCTAGGTTTTGCTTTTCTCCCCAAGAGCCTCTGTTCCTTAATAGTGTCTATTGGGAGTAGCTTCCTTTTATCATGCCTGGTGCTTCCTTTCCTAATTAACTGCCTACCAATTACTCAGTGAGTTAATTAGCCCCAGGTTCACCTGAGTTACCTCATTTCCCCTTGTGGAGCTTGTCAGAGATAGACTCAGCTCCTGAATCCTATTCAGGGCCAGCTACCCTCTGACAGTGCCTGAGCCATTTCTTGTGAGAATGAATTAGGTGTATGCCTCTTTCCACACAAAATGGAGATAGTCATAGTACCCAACTTATAACTTTTAGCTCAGTGGTTAAAGCACTCATGGGGGATGTTGGAGATCTAGGTTAAATTCCTCCTTCTGCCTGCTGGGGAGAGAGGATTTGAATAGTAGTCCTCCACCTCTCAGGAACGTGCTTTAACCACTGGGTTATAGGATATTTTGATGTGTGTTGTTCTCAATCTGGATAAATAAATAGTCAGAGGGCCACAGAGAGACCTAGGTGCTGGAACTAGGGGTGCTGTGGGTGTGGCAGCACCCACTGGTTTAAAGTGATTTCCATCATATACAGGGTTTACAGTTTTGTTTAATGGCTTTCAGCACCCCCATTATAAAAATTGTTCCAGCACCTATGCAGAGAAACTGTGAGAATGACTCTATAGCTTGGTGGCAAGGATACCTGTCCACAAGGTGGGAGACCTAGGAGCTAGTCCCCCTGCTCCAGTGACTCTAGTTATTTATCCAAAGTTGGAAAACTTCAACAAGAGAGATTGAGAGAGATCCACACCAGAATATCCCATAGCCCACTGCTTAAGGCACCACCTCCTCCTCCTCCATTTTGAATGAGGCCTGTTCCAGTGGGCATGCTTTAAGGACACTTACCAGATTGGGCCCGGCAGGGAAGATCGGTGAGCAAACACCCCTGGTTTGTAGATCCTGCTGGGGTTTAGGCGTGGGACAGGCCTGCACATGCCCAAACTTAGGTGCCTAGGGAACTTTCACAGTGGAAACATAGGCACCTAGTGACTGTAGCTACCTATAGCATTAGGCAACAACAAAGTGGAGGTTTTGTGAACTGCAGTGTTGCCTAAAACTGGGACTTATGCACTTAAATCCATTTGTGGATCTGGACTTAGATCCTTTCATATTTTTTCTGTATATTCACTTTTGTTCAAGACACCTCCCTCTCAACATATTATCAATTGGTAATTTAATTAATCTGCTGTTAAGCCCTTCTTTCATTGAAGACCAGAACAGACAGAACACTGAAAAGTGAAATCTTGACACAATGCTGTACTTTGTTGTTTTTCATTACCTTTTGTTTATGTTCCTTCAATAAACCTTCACTCCACACAGTGCTGTTATCCAAACTGATTTTAATTAATTTGGGAGCATAGTTCAGGAGACTAAATTTCATATATTCATCTCTGAGTCGTGCAAGAATCCTGCTATATTCTTCTGAGTTCTTAAAGAATTTCACTGGTGGATCGCAGCATTACTGGGAGCCTTTCTTGTTCAAAGCAGACCACAACACGTCAAACTTAACATCTGTGTGCTAAAGGGTACACTGTAAACTTTGGAGTATGTAGCCCCACAGCATGCAATAGCTCCTAACCTAAAAGAGAGGCCAATAGGTCTGGTCACCTATTGAAATTGTAGGGTAGAAATGGTCTGTGAGGAAGGAGTAGAGTGAATTTTCTACACAGCTTAGTTTATTAAGTTGCACAGGAACTCCATCTGTTTTGAGTTGAAAATCTTCTCTTCCGTCTGTAGCTAACTACATTAAATGGATTTTTTATATTGTTTCCAGAGGTTGCCTGATCAGTCAAGTAGATTGAACCTAGAGCTGAGAGCCAAGAACTCCTGAGTTCTCTTTCTGATTTTTACCACTGTCTAGCCTTAAACAAGTTACTTGTGGCTCAAGTTTCAGGCCTTTAATCTCCTGGACCAAATTCACTGCTGATATAAGCGAATGCGACTTCATTGACATCAAGGACTTGCAACAAATTTGGTTTTCTGTCATTTCCCAACTGTAAAATGGAGAAGTGTTGTGAGGATAAATTAGTTAATAAACCTGTTTTAAGAAGAAAAGTGTCAAGTATTTTTATTTAGTTGAATAGATAAGATCCATGAGTAAGTGAATGTGCTGAGCATTTTATATACAGCAAATATGCTTATTGGGTCTTTTTATGTATTTATTTCAGATTTCAGTTGCTTTGGGAACTTCTACAGAAATACAATACAAACAATTCCATACACAGAAGACTACCCCTGCGACTGCTTAGATATTTTTACCCAATATAATAACAACCACCCCCAGCGGCCCCAAGACTAACTGTTCCCTCCTCGCAGCCTAGAATCCATAAGCCTTCTCAGATTCCCAAGGGTAGGCTTTATCACGTAGAAAGCTTTTAATTTGTTATCCTTGCATATATCATTATCTAGAGGAAAACATTAGATAAGACTCCAGTTGGAATGATGGAAGCTTAATATTAAGCAATATATAATTCAAAGCTGTTTTTTTAAACCATTAAGATGATTGCCCAAATATCTGACACATTTTAACGTCTAATTCCCAGGGCATTGGGTCAGAGTAGCTCTAGAGATTCACAGACTTCCTCTTTTTTATGGTTGATTACCCTGAACAGCAATAGTACATTGTAACTGATACTCATAGTGTAGAGTATAATGAATTATATTATCTTCATGTCCTTGGAAATACATTTTTTTAATGAGTGATTTTGTTGAGGATCATATGTCTCGAGTCATTAACTTAGCTTGTATATTGTAATACAAGATATATATTGTGCTTCTCATGTCTCCCACAATGATAACTAAATATATGGCTGCATTCTGACTTGCAATACATCTTACCTATTGTAGGCAGCAAGTTTAATGCAGAATCCTCAAGTTCAACAACTGTAAGTATTAACATGGAGTATCAGTGAAAAGAGATGCCAGTGGTGTCTGAGTGGGCTAGCAAATCAAAAGCAAATGGCAATGGATTACTAAAATTTGTATTGTGTTCTTCTTATTATTGCCTTTACAGCTGTACTCTTTGTAACTAGATCTACCACAGTTTAGTTTCCCCTACAGCTCACTTAATAACTAGTACTCTTCCTAGTAACCCAACAAAGAATTGCAGTTTGTCACTTAAGATGGGGTTCTCAAACTGGGAGTCAGGACCCCTCAGGGGGACACGAGGTTATTACATGGGGGTCACGAGCTCTCAACCTCCACCCCAAACCCCGCTTTGCCTCCAGCATTTATAATGGTGTTAAATATATAAAAAAGTGTTCTTAATTTATAAGGGGGTTGCACTCAGAGGCTTGCTATGTGAAAGGGGTCACCAGTATAAACGTTTCAAACCCACTGACTTAAGATAATACCACCACAATACCAATGCTGTGTTAACTGTTCTAGAATGTCGGGGATGATGTCCAATGCCATTGGTGGCCCTGCTGCAGGTGTTGGTGGCCTAACTGATCTGTCAAGCCTCATACATGCGTAAGTGTTGTGAAGATTTACATATTATTTTAACTACTTAACAGTTGTAGAAGCAGCACTCAGCTGCTGTTTAAAAGAGACAGTGCCAAACTAATTTTTAGCCTTTGTATTCCTGATAACCTTAGATGATTAAACTTTACATCTTACTCTTCATTATTTTATGTTTACTTACTTTGTACACTTCATTCATTCAGTTTGAACAAGCAAACTGACAGCTCACTTTCACTTTCTGGTGCTCATACATTATTTGCTTTTTAGACTCGGCTCATTAAAAGTGCCTGTTTAAATTTTTAGGTGCTTGTACATTTTTCTTCCAAATTGCATTGGACCAGCCTCCTCCAAAAACTTCTCAGTTCCCTGCAGCTAAAGTCCTGTTCCCTCAAGCCATATTCAGCTTACCCACTTGAGGAAAGGCTGTGAGAATAAATAGGTCTTGTGGAGTGATCTGAAATTCAGCAAACTCAATCTCTGTCAGACCTAGGGCTGCAGTGAGGATACAAGGCTGAAAATATCCTGCCACACCAGCTTCCTCCCATTTAAAGTGGGAGGGGCTGCTGCTTCAAGCAACACCACGTGAGGAGAGAGGTGGTTTCTACAGTAGCCAGGACCATTTTAATAGTTCACATTATTGGCAACAAAAGTGCGGATCACTTTGGCAAGGACCCATTCCCTCCCCAGCCCCAAAATGGCAGCCTTCCTGTCCAGTGCACATCAAATTAAAGCAGTATTGGTAGCTACTGCTACCTGGACAAAATTCTCTCAAGAGCTTATTCCTGAAGTAACAGAGTTCTTCCAGTTGTTTTTCCTAGTGATCAAGTATTTCAGCTGTCTCATCTGAGGTTAATTTCAGCCAGTTAGCTCAATACAAGCCACAATCCTGGCTTGTCACCACATAAATGCAGATCAGAGACTCTTTGGGTGAAGTGAAGTCCACTTGTGGAGCTGGGTATTATCAGCATAATGGAGCCTATGTTACCTCACATTCTCCCAATGGCCTCACCTACACATGCACAAAATGGGTAGCAGAATACATCTCTGAAACTCCACATCAGATTGTCTTTAGGCTAGAAGAGCAATTGACCCAAATTGCCTACTGGCATCTTTTGGAAGGAAAGGAGCAGAGGCACACAAGAGCAGCTTTGTTTACCAATGTTAGTGTCTGCAGGTGAGTCAACAATAGTTCTCATCAAAGGCAGCTGATGGATCTAAAGACTCAACATGGACACATGTCCATCTATCATCAGAACAGAATTCAAATAGTAAAAGCTATAACACCATGATTATCATTTTAATACAGATCATCCTAGTCATGCTTGCTTTTGCCTTCATTTACATAACATAGCTTCAGCTATCATAAAACTTGATGTTTTCTGATGAGTGCTGCATGCCAGTTATTTTTCACTTGTTGATTTACAAAAAACTGTTTAACACAGGGGACAGCAGTTTGCACAACAGATACAGCAGCAGAATCCAGAGCTCATAGAACAACTGAGAAATCATGTCCGGAGCAGATCTTTCAGTGGCAGCACTGAAGAGCATTCCTGATTTAAAGGAGGCATGTGGTTGTAGAACTAGAAATGTGAATGGTATATAATCCCAAAATGCACACAGTAGCTAGTAGCAAATGCATCATTGTAACTACTCTGCCTGGACATGAAACAGAAAATCCTTTGTGTCTGTTTGTTAAACAAGAATAAATCTGTTAAACAGATCTGTTGCACACAAGTTTGAACAAATCATGTATATATAGTGAATCCTTTATAAATTTATATATATTAAATACATTGACTTATTAAATTCCCATATATAAAAATGATCATGTTTAGGCTTTTCAAATTAATGAACACTATCTATTAATGGATGTTAAAACTTGCCATCTCTTTTAAAGAGAGACTACTTACTATGCACCAAGGCTGTGCATTGGAGCGATCTACAGGGCTGCTGCGGGGGGAAGTGAGTCTAATGCTTTAATGGGTGCTGGTATGCCTGCATAGAAATTTAGTTTTAAAAATTACATTGTAAAAGGCCTATTGTTCAGTAGCGAAGGTTTGCATGGCTCTGCTTCTTACCAGATCAGCTATGAAACAATAGATCTGACCAGCACTCTGCTTCTTGTGATGAGCCTATGGGGGTGATGGAGTGCAATGTGAATTTAAAACATGTGCTGGAGGGTCAGTCCTTTGACTTTGTAGCACTGAGTCCCTGGCCTAGGGTTTGTTGAGAGGCTTTTGCTATCAGCATCACATGCCTTTCAACTTTACCTGCTGGGAAGAAGGTGGGTAGTAGAGCCTAGGGATGATTAAGAGTTGCATGTACAGAGAGGATAATAAAACTGTGCTAGGAGGAAGATGTGCAGCAATCAGAGGAAGAGACCAGTCCAAGGGAGAAGGAAAGAGGAATTTCTACTGCTATATATGTCCCAAAATCATTTTAGTAGCCCTGGAGATCTCCATTATGGCACTAATAGCATAGGCATGAAAAGTTGTGCTTCATTCTTGTGTGTATACAGTATACAACATGAGTTTAAGAATTCTTAACTGTGATTAAACTGGTCACACACCTGCACAAGTCATTAGCACTGAAAACTTAGGTAATTCGAACAAATAAATCAACATGTACCACAGTGTGGTAAATCACTGGCTTAGGGGAAAAAAACACAGTTAAGGATTTTTGAAGTTTAATTATATAACTTGTATATTTTAAATAAGTGATTAATGGTGAAAGGGCCATGAAATAGTTCTTCCAGTCTGTGTTCCTCTTCCCAGCTCTCCTAACCTGACACTTTCAGACCTCCTTGCTTTTCTGTATTTTTTCTTTTTTAATATTTTTGTAACCTGTTTCCCTGGTTTGCTGTTCATGCCATCTACTGCTGCTGGATACACTTAGGCTTGGTCTATTCCAGTGTTTCTCAACGACTGGTCCATGAACCTGCGCCAGTCCCTGAGATCTCCCTGCCACAGTTTAGGAAGGCAGCAAGCTGGTCCCTGGTATCAAAGAGGTTGTGAAACACTGGTCTATACTACTAACTTTTGTCAGTATAACTACGTCATTCAGGGCTGTGGAAAATCCATACTCCTGAGCAATGCACTTATACTGACCTAACCTCTGGGGTAGACAGCACTAGATTTACATAGCTACCGCTTCTCAGGAAGGTGGAGTGCCTGTGCTGAGAGGGGAAGCTCTCTCACACATGTAGTGTCTTCGCTAAGTGCTAGAGAGAAGACATTGTGCAGAATGTAAACGAGAGCAGAATTTAGAACTAATGCATAAGCTCCTTTCTGAATTTGGTGATGGGAGGGTAAAAATTCCCAATTTTGTCAGACTGTATATATTGCACGGGGGGACATTTGCAGACATGAAAATCAGACTAACATCCATTGCATAAGACTTTATATTTTATTCATTAAATAACTTACATAGCATTAGATTTTTAGCTTTATTTTTTCTAAAAAGACTGCTATTTATAATTGCACTGCATGCTCATTAATGTACTCTGGGGTGCATTGGAGACATTAGGCAAACACCCCTAAGCTCTAAATTGAATCAGTGCTATTCTGTTTTATTGGCTGACCACATGGAAAGAAGTGTTTACACTGGCTGTGTCTGCCTTGGGGGGGGGGGGGGGGGGAACGGAGAGGGGGGTCGACTAACTTATGTATGTACTTTTTTCAGTTGTAGTTCAGGTAACTAATATTTGCCTTCAGGCAGATTGTTTTTACAAAAAAAAAAAAAAAAAGAAAGATTATTGCTTTTTATAAAAAAACCTGAGAATTGATTAAGCCCCAAACAACATAGTTACATTAGGAATCTACATATGCAGAAATCATTTGGCAGATTTTTTCCATAATGCACTCTTTAAACAGACCATTTACACAGTGTATTCTCCGCTATACTTTACCCTTCCACATTTTCAGCAACTCCAAGGTCAATTCCAGTTTTTTTGCACTAAATTTAATAAAGGAAACAAAACAAACATAAAACAACACTGGGGCTTTACAGAAACTAAGGATGTGACCCAGTATATTTACCCTTGTGTTCTGACAATCTTCATTTAATGTTTTAGTTTTCTCTTACCCTCTCCTACTAAAAAAAGTCTTTTGTAGCTGAGTGTCTTTAATGATTAAGTATAATAATCCTAAACTATACTCTTCTGTATAACAATTATATAAACAAAGGTTGGCTGTAGGGGTTCAAAACAGCCACTCTTTCTGCTTGTAGTTATATGTACATGCAGCTACTGAGTATTCTGCAGATGTCTGTGTTCTGGTAGAGCCAGCCCTGTCAAACTGCTCTGGAGTAGTTATCACTAATGCTATGAACTGTACTCTTGGAACCATGCTTATTAGAAGTTGTAACTTCCATTTCACATACCACACTGTTAAGAATGTGAGTCTTATTCCAGTATCTGTAACAAGAATGCTTGTTTTTAGATTTTTGATGGCATTACCTAATGCAGGAACATGCCACAATTGACACAATAGAAAACTTGTAACTGCCTATTATATTTTGCATATGAGCAGATGGGACTTTATAGCTTAATAAAAAAATAGAAATTCCCTAATAGACAGTAGCTACTCTTTCTATTTAAGTCCAGGAAGAGTTTTCATTTATGCTAAAATGTATTTTGCCACTCTACAGGCTACAGTGTTCACAATGTCATGACTTGTTTTAATCAGTGGTTGAAGAGAGCGCTTGGGTACTTTGAAAAAAATTCATACTGATAAGTGGTAAACCATGATCTAAACAAATATTGCTTTCATTTTAGACCAACTGCAGTTTATCAGTGAACTAAATAAATAATTATGCATTTAAAATTTGTTTGGTTTTCTATCATTACTGGTGCAGCAGCAAATTCATGTGGTAAGCAGTGGAAAAGGGGGAAATATCTTGCAAAATGAAGAGTTTACTTTATTCACACACTTAAAAGATATGAATTTCAAAAAAACAGGTTTGTGTGGAAATGTTTTATTTTCATCTGTTTGATGTCCCTCTTGAAAAATACAACTAATGTTGTACTTCAGCACACAGCACCAAAAACTTAAGCATTTTCTTTTGCTAAAATGCAATTTGGGGTTTTTCATGAAGGGAGAGGGTAGCCATATAGTTACATCTCCTTAAACTTGTGACAGATCAATTTGAAGGTACTTAGATTCTATTTTTTTCAGGTGGGGGGGGCAGTAGTTTTTGTTTCTCTTATTACTCCATTGAACTCTGGATTACGTGAGGGCATGTTGCCCTCTAACTAGCTGAAGTTTAGAAGGAACATAAGGTTATTTCTGTAGCTGCTAATTATTTATTGGGGGAATTTTAAAATATTGTGCGCAGAATTCTTAATTTTTTTGGTGCAGAATTCCCCCAGGAGTACAACATGCAGAGTGAAGATAGGCTGTGCTGTTCATGCATACATGGCAATTTGGCTACTTTAGGAGTAAGCTATCAATCAAGCATATATTGATTAAAACAGCTCTGAAAGAGAAAGTTTAGCTTGGCCAGTACCACTCGCTCTCTTAATTTAGTAATCTGGTCATGATCCATCCCATATATTTAAAAAAACCCTCTACACTAAAGGGAAAAAAAATGATGATAATATTGGAAAGTCTAAAATAAACATTTCAAACTAGGCAAGATTGCTGTGTGATAACCCTGAGGGAAAATGTGAAAAGCCAGAGAGAAGGACTTTTCTTTATTTAGTAATAGTCTTGAAAATAACTTGGACGTAGGAACCGGCCACTTCGGGTAAGCGTGAAATTATCAACCTACACAAGGCCATGGGGAAAAATGTTTACTGTGTGAATACAAAAAATGTTTCCACAATCTATTACAAAAAATATGGATCCCCCACCTAACAATTCATTCTAATTGTGTATCAGGTAATTTCCAAGAGTATTCAGTGACAGGGGCCGGAGGATGCTGCAGGGAGCTCTCTAAGGATCGGGTTGGTGTGTGTCTATCACTATCCTGCACAGAGAGGGCAAGGTGTGCAGAGTGCTTGTGTGTGACGGGAGGTGTTGGTTTCAGGGAGCTGAGTTACAGCAGGCAGTAGACAAAACTGCTACTTGCTAAGGGCCGGTAGTGAAGAGGTGCCTCACAATCCTGGGTACCCAGGGGGAGCATCACAGTAGTGAGCAGGGAATCTGGGAAAGAGATTGGAGCCGTGGGATGCTTGCATGGTGGAGTTAAAGTCCAAATCCTCAAGTCCCTGACAGAAGAAGGATGAAAATGAGAACTGAATTCTAATAAAAAAAACAACAAACCTTGCCATTATAGGTTAGTCCCTCCAAGTTAAAGCAGCTCTGCAGTCAGTGCCACAATGGGCACCCCTTTAAAGCCAATGGTGAAGTGGATAATAACTTCCTTCTTATGATGGCTGCATATTCAATACAATAGTGCAAGAAATCCTGACAGCTGCATTTTCAGACTTTAAAGATTTTATTTTCAAATAGATAAAATATGTATAGTTATCTCTTTAAAACATATTTTAAAACATTCCAAAAATACTCACAGAAGACACAAATAAATAAACACTTATATTGTTTGCAGATGTTTTAAACATGATTTTGCCATCATTCAGATGTAAAATTTAGGAAGTTGGTCCAAGAAACCCCAGGGGAAATGTTAAAAGGATTTTTCTTCAATGTTCTTCTTTTACTTTTGAAGAAATTACACAGACTTGTGCAATATCATCATATTCGTATGTTCTCTTCAAAAACGTGTCCATTAGTCTTAAGCCAGAGACACTCTAATGGGAAAAAGATGTGTACAAATTTTAGTAAGTAGATGAGAATAAGTTTTGCACTACTGTGACCATGAAATAGCCCCTATATATATATCATAGTTATGTCATGTTGTCTCTTACTTGTAGTCCCTGTACTGAAGACAATAGTGTAAGTGCAAGATGGAGGGATGAACTGGGGTGTAGCTTTCCAAGCTGTCTTCCTGAAACTCCACACCAGTGGATGGAATTAGTATTGCACATTTCCAAAACCAGATCCATAGTTCTTTCACTGCTAGATGAAAGCAAACAATAAGGAAAAAACCTAGTTCTTTACCATTCAAGGAAGACTGCAGAAGTACAATAGCTTGATGATTCTGAGAGCACTCATTAGAAACTCCTGATATGAATGGTTTATTACTGAAGTTAGTGGCTTGTAATAGATCATCCTAAGTCTCAAAAGTTACTCAGTTACATATTAATTTGTTTTCATAGAATCATAGACTTTAAGGTCAGAAGCGACCATTATGATCATCTAGTCTGACCTCCTGCACAACGCAGGCCACAGAATCTCACCCACCCACTCCTGTATCAAACCTGTGTCTGAGCCATTGAAGTCCTCAAATCATGGTTTAAAGACTTCAAGATGCAGAGAATCTTCCAGCAAATGACCCATGCCCCATGCTGCAGAGGAAGGCGAAAAACCTCCAGGGCCTCTGCCAATCTGCCCTGGAGGAAAATTCCTTCCCGACTCCAAATATGGCAATCAGCTAAACCCTAAGCATGTGAGTAAGACTCACCAGCCAGACACCCAGGAAAGAATTCTCTGTAGTAACTCAGATCCCACCCCATCTAACATCCCATCACAAGCCATTGGGCATATTTACCGCTAACAGTCAAAGACCAATTAATTGCCAAAATTAGGCTATCTCATTATACCATCCCCTCCATAAACTTATCAAGCTTAGTCTTGAAGCCAGATATGTCTTTTGCCCCCACTACTACCCTTGGAAGGCTGTTCCAGAACTTCACTCCTCTGATGGGTAGAAACCTTCGTCTAATTTCAAGTCTAAACTTCCTGATGGTCAGTTTATATCCATTTGTTCTTGTGTCCACATTGGTACTGAGCTTAAATAATTCCTCTCCCTTCCTGGTATTTAATTCCTCTGATATATTTATAGAGAGCAATCATATCTCCCCTCAGCCTTCTTTTGGTTAGGCTAAACAAGCCAAGCTCTTTGAGTCTCCTTTCATAAGACAGGTTTTCCATTCCTCGGATCATCCTAGTAGCCCTTCTCTGTACCTGTTCCAGTTTGAATTCATCCTTCTTAAACATGGGAGACCAGAACTGCACACAGTATTCCAGATGAGGTCTCACCAGTGCCTTGTATAACGGTACTAACACCTCCTTATCTCTACTGGAAATACCTCACCTGATGCATCCCAAGACCGCATTAGCTTTTTTCACAGCCATATCACATTGGCTGCTCATAGTCATCCTGTGATCAACCAATACTCTGAGGTCCTCCTCCTCTATTACTTCCAACTGATGCGTTCCCAGCTTATAACAATAATTCTTGTTATTAATCCCTAAATGCATGATCTTGCACTTTTCACTATTAAATTTCATCCTATTACTATTACTCCACTTTACAAGGTCATCCAGATCTTCCTGTGTGATATCCCGGTCCTTCTCTGTATTGGCAATACCTCCCAGCTTTGTGTCATCCGCAAACTTTATTAGCACATTCTCACTTTTTGTGCCAAGGTCAGTAATAAAAAGATTAAATAAGATTGGTCCCAAAACCGATCCCTGAGGAACTCCACTAGTACCCTCCCTCCAGCCTGACACTTCACCTTTCAGTACAACCCGTT